GCTAACCCCTTGCCATTTTTGTCAAAAAGTGTCATTTTTTAACATTTCATAAAATGATCTACAATAACATATTTTGAATAGACAGGGTCCAAGAGATGAAAAGATATAAAAATAAGCCTTTTTGAAAAATTCATGATTTTTGGCCAAAAAGATGGGCTAACCCCTTGCCATTTTTGTCAAAATCGTATATTATTCACATTTTATTGTGAAAGTATACTTTTGAAAGTCAGGTAAACTAAATGAAAATAATTAAACAAATTATAAATGGTCCTTTAGGTTATGCGTATCTCTTTTAATGTGAAAATATTCCAACACAACAATTTAATAATGTAGTGTTGGTCTCTGATCTTTCATGACCCCTTGTAAATTTGGAATAAGGTCTTGATTATTCAGGAAAGTTCCGGTAACCGAGAAATGCAAAGACCCAGTGGAAGAATGCAAGCCGGTGGTTTTGAGCTGATGTGACACACACAAATGGTTAAAGAGGTAGATGGTGTGATTTAACAAAATCCAATTAGAAAAACATCTTATATCTATAAACCCATAACATTTAACAAAATAAAAATTGATACAAAAATACAATATTTATCCAAAAAAGAGGAAGTAAATAGATAAACTAAACAAAGTTTTTATTTTGGCCAAAATTGCTTTCAGGTTTATTTTCTTTAATATGCAGTTAAAATCTGATTCAATTAAATAAAGGTTTTATTCAAACATGTCTCGCAGCCAGTTGCTGAATTGCACATATGTACATATATGGTGCTAAATTTAAAAAAAAATGCATCTACAAGTATTGCATGAAATATAACCATAATTCACATTTTAGCACACAAGAGCTTCAAATTGATTAAATCGAATCATACACTAATCATACCACAGAACATATGTATCATATCCCAAAAATGCATAGGGATCCAGCTTGTTTGCCTAAAATAAACTTAAAAAACGTAAATCCTATCAGTCAAAATTTTGTTACCAAAAATTGCATTTTGTAAAACAGTATAAAAATATTAAAAGAGGGGGGGGGGGGGTTAACTATTCAACAAGCAAGATAATGACCCACAATGAATGATGTAATATGCCTTACATAACTTGACCTGATTAGTAAGGACAATTTCAATTAAAAAAAAGATCAGATTCTAATGATAGTCATATGCAAAAATTTAAGAGTACACAAACAAAATGCATAACAAATGAAAACAAATATTAACCAATGAACAAGAGGAACTTATTCATATTCAATGCTTAAATGGCAACAGGTATAGTGCTTAAATTACCATTTCTCAGAGTAGGTTGCAAAGATAATTCATTAAGAATTTATATATCCTTCACCACAATGCTTTGAAGATCACAGTGGGACACATTTTGAAAGAATAATCACACACTTTCTTGACAGGAAATTGACAATCTTCTTGACAATTTTGAAATGAAATTGTGCTCAGCAGTCTCTCAGATCCAATCTTCTTGCTAGTTGTACATTTAGATTTTTAGTATAGCTCTCTTGATTGTGGGTCACTTTGAGGGCCTTTGAATCTGGAATTTTCTTTCTCTGACTGCGTTTTTTCAATGAAAAAGGACAAAAGAAAGAAAACAAAATTTATCCAAATGGAATCATAAAGTACTATTCTGATTGATATATTTGGGATATTGATAAAAATACAAGTATATATATATATATATAAGATAATCGAATGCAGGCTAAGCGACATAAATGATCAATTCCTGATGATCTTAAACAGTTGCAAAAGACTGTAGGTGGAACATTAAGGCTATTCTTTCCATGCCATATAGCACACAAGGGCATCCACAATCTATCTTTAACATAGTAATAGTATGTTTCACAGAGCGAACATTTTTTGCCAAGTTTAAAATTATGACTTTGTAAGACTTTGAAGATACCATAGGTCGAGGTTGTCACTGTCGCCATGTTTTTTAATCACAGCAGTACGCAGTCAAATTCTGGTCAAGTTTGACAAGATTACCAGGTAACCTGTCAGTTGCCGTACAATTATTCCTGATGGAAGTTTTATCCCACCACAGAAATACGATAGAATAAAAGCTTAATTCATGGCTGTAAAGCTCCATTTACAGCTGGACTCCTAAACTTCTGTATTCACTCTCTTCCAACTGTTCATCACATTCGATTTCAAGCTGACCTGGAATCGGAGACGATCGAAGGAAATAAATTTAACTTATATGGCAACTCCACCAGATGTGAAGGACCACAAAATGAAGAGGAGAACTGCGAAGCTAGGCCAAGCTAACCCGGATTTCCAAGGCCTAGCTTGCATTACTTGTTGGACAATGACAGGGATCCTGAGGTCAATGAGGCTTTTAAAGGTTTGGAAGTAACATTCAAAGAATTAGAGATAAGGCACAGGGCTTACTACCAAAAGTGGTGGTCGATATAGCAAAAGAGATGGGGTCGCCATACTGCGTACCTGCCTCGAAGGGAAGCCCTTTGACATGATTAGAGGGGTAGGCACCAATTACGATGCTGCTTGGGCATATCTGAACTGTGTTTTCGGGACCGGTGATTCATAGCAGATATGCCATAATCCATGATGTGAACTAGTTTAGGGATTTGTAAAACCAATCGCTTTAAAGGTAAAGACCAGTTATGGTCATGCGATTGCATTGTGAAAGAAACGTTGTGGAATCGATCAGAAAAGGTTGATCATCTAGCATCTAGCATCTGCAAGGTTCTGGAATCATCAAAATGATAAGAAATTTGGCCAATTCTTCGTAAAGTTACAAGCACTATACACAGAAAGATGTATATGGGACTACCCTATATCTCTCACAGACCATGAGAGAAACAAGTTTACCAAATATATGAATTAGTAGGCGGTTTCCCGGCAAATTTTTTATCATCATGTATTAGTCAAAACATATTCTTTCACATGATTGGTAATGAGAGCTTCCATTTCATTTTTTTGAAATTGGGGCGTTTCCAATACTGTTCTTTACCTTTAATAATAGCTCTATTCCCTATTTTGTTCGCATCTTAAATGATTATTATTTTAAAAAGTAAACATAATGCATTTTGTATATTTATGTTAAATGATGATGTCTATTATGCGTATGAATGTATCTAGTATATTTATCCTTTTATATGTCATTAATTTTATTTTATGTTTACATGTACAATGCTGTATTTTAACCACTATACCTTGTAAATGACCTGCAATTCAGCTTCGGCTGCCAGAATGTCATGTGAATAAAACCCTTATTGAATTGAATTGAATTGAATTGATGGATGGAGACGACTCCAGATTTTTCCATCTAGTGCATCTATTGAGGTGAAGCTTAAACACACAAAAAGAAGTTGGCTGTCCACAAGACATCAAAACGGCCAAACGTTGGCTCTGATAGAGCACAGGTTGACCCTTGAAGACCGGAAGGTGTGGTTCCACCATTTAGATACGGCCGACCAGGATGTCAGTTTGCAGCACTTCCTGGACTGGATGGAGACAGAGATGAAGACACGTATGCAGGCCACTGCACTGCATAGAAGTGCAAGTACTGGCAGCAGACAGAAGAACACCATTCACCATCTATTAGTGCTGACGACAATAAACAGAGTAGTGAGAGTAACCAATTTACCCAATACAAATGCTGTATCTGTGAATCCTCTGATCATTGGATTAATCATTGCAAGCAGGTCCTCTCCAAGAGTCAAACAGAGACATTTCAGTTGATGAGAGTCAATCATGCTTGTTTCAGTTGTCTCAAGAAGGCAGGCAGAGAGCGCAACATGGGAACCTGCAAGAGAAGGAAGAGGTGCTCTAAACAGTTAAACAGGGAGCCATCCTCTGCTGCACAGGGAAGTCCAAACCAGAAGATAGTAGCCAGTGTAGCTGGAAAGTTTGCCCTACTGCCAGCGGTTACGGTGAAAGTTCTTGGTCCAAATCAGAAGAGCTCAACAGCCAACTGTCTACTAGATTCAGGAGCTCAGATAAGTCTTGTGAAGCAGTTGATGGCAGAAGTTGGGAAACCAATCACAATCAACATCACTAAACTTGAGGGCCATGTTGAAAAAGTGCAGAAAAAACTGTATCGGATGAGACCACCATCCCTTGAAGGCAAGCAGGCTTACAGAGTGTCAGTACTTGGGTTGGATTGCATCAACAATAATGTATCAGAAGTTCAGGTAGATGAACTTGCAAGGACATTCCACCTGAAAAAGGATCTTCTACACCATGGTTTTGGATCCATCAATGTTTTAGTAAGAATCGACCACGCTAAGCCCCATAAAAGAGAAACAAGAGAGAAAGGGAATTTGTCGGCAAGGCATTCTCCTTTAGGATGGGTAGTTTGTGGAGCTACCTCAGAACAACAGACCACGAAGAGTACAGTACTGAATGTTAAGCTTGCCAACCTGGTGGACTTGAAAAATTTCTGGACGACAAAATCAATGGGAGTTTGTCACGATCCAGAGCAGTGCCAACTTAATGGTCTCAGCAAGCAAGAAGCAGAGGAGTGTAAGCTGATCAGTGATTCCTGCCAGAAGGTGGGGAATCAGTAGCTTAATGTACCCTATCCCTGGCAGAAAGGTCCAAACTTGCTTCCAGGCAACAGGCTCCAAGCGGAAAGAATGTTGTATGCAACAGAAACAGAAAAGAAATTGGCATAGAATCCACAACATGCAGAAGCATATAATCATCATATTTATATATTCCATTGTTTAAATACCATACTTCACGTAGATCAGTAAAATATTCTGGAGTGATTACTTGGAATGCAATACCTACCGATATAAAAAATGTGCCCATCTCTTGCCTTATTCAAACAAAAAACATACATCATCTAATGAAGGAATGTCTATCTTTATTATGTTTAATTAGCCTGTACACACTTGTTTATGTAATGTAATATCCACTCTTTCTTTTCTCTTTACTTTGTATAATTATCTGCGGCCATTGGAGCCCAGCCTTTGGAAGGCTAATGGCCTCTGCTGGCTCCTCAATATTCTTTGTATTGTTTATATATTTTCTTATGTATAATGTATTGTTGAATGAAATTTTTACAAGAATTGGAAATAAAATGAATGAATTATTAAATGAGATAAAGGAGATGGCGTGGATGAATTTTGCCAGGAGCTTTCTGATAAAGAATCTGAGTCATACACTGGCCCTGTGTACTACATATCTCATCATGCCATCGTAAGACCCGAGAAGAAAAGCTCGCCCTTCCGAATCGTGTTCAACAGCTTGTTCAGGTGTTGTTGAGATTAAGAGAACATGATGGGGCTCTGTGCGCAGACATATCCAAGATGTATCACAGAGTAATAATACCAGAGAGGGGGTAACTTTTTCATCGCTTCCTCTGGAATAATCTGAGTCAAAAACAGAATCGTGAGGTAATTGTGATGAAAGTCGTCACATTTGGTGATAAACCGGCCCCAACCATGGCACAGATGGCTTCGGGGAAGACAACAGAGGGGGCAAGGAAGTATTCACGAGCAGCGTCAGCCCTAAACCACAGAATATATAAGACAAGATAATATTTGTATTTCTGTACCAAAGACGTCTGAGGCTGAGGAGCTTAGCAGTGATGTCAACACTATCCTGGTTGATGGAGGCTTCCATGTGAAAGAATGGAGATCTAACAAACCTTTGTCACGACATGAGGCAGAGAAAAGATGTCCCAAACTGCTGAAAACATTCAGTGATGAAAAGGTCCTCAGGGTTGTATGGGGGAGATGATTCAGATGTCTGAATGAGAATATAACCCATGCCAATAGAATAACAATTAAAGATAAGGATTCTGAGTCAATTAGCTCTCATATTTGACCCTATTGGATGAGCAGCAGCTTTCGTAGTACAATTTAAGATACATGTAGGACTGCAAAAGCTGTGGGAGGAAGGACTTGACTGGGATGCTGAGCTGTCAGAAAACGGTCAATCTAAATGGAAACAGTTCTTCAAAGAGATGAAGAAAATTAACAATGTAAAAATGGAGAGATGTCAGACACCTAACAATGTGAATTTGGAGAGTTGTCTGACACCTAGCGATGCAGTCGGTAAGCCAAACCTACGCATCTTTGTGATGCATCAGTGATTGCATTTGGAGCATGTGCTTACCTTAGATGGGGAACAGATGAAGGAAAGTAAGAAGTGACATTCAAAATCACGAGTGGTTTCGTTGAAGCAGTTAACTGTTCCAAGTCTTATATAGCTCTTACATGTATATATCCAGGACCAGACGCTAAAGTTTGCAATGTGAAGGTGTAATGCCAACTTCAGGATACCGCCATCCGATTACGAAGATCGATCGCGATCTTTTACCTGGCTAAAGGTTACAAAGATTATAGCGAGAGTTAACATAATGTTTATGTATTCATGTGGAAAATTCCCTGAATGGGTGGGAAGGATGTTTTGCTGAGCGAGATTTTTGTCCTAGTCATAGGCCACATGTCACTGTTGTCATGTTTTTCAGTCATAGCAGTACACAGTCAAATTCTTGTTAGCTTTGACAAGATTACCAGCTGACCAGTCAGTTACTGTACCAGTACCGGTATTCCTGATGAATTTTTGTCCCGCCACAGAGATCGAATATAAGCTTCGCTGTTTTATATCTCCATGGACTACTAATCTACATGTATCCCCTCTCTGTAACTATTCAGTATACACAAGAAAATGAACAATTTAGGAAAGGCACTAGGACTGAAGAGTTGATACAAAAGCATGTAATTGGTTGGTGTGATCATGACGGGTAGTTTAAGCTTCTACCAACCTTAAAATTTAGTAATCTAATAATTTTCCGCTTTTATTTAGCGCCCAATACATCGATACAACGATGTGTCTAAGCACTGTACAGATATAATATGCACTGAACCTTTCATCTCACAAATTTGGATTTGGGATACAAGTTTGCACGCCCGGTAGCACTAGAGATTTAAATTGAAGAGCGTAAATGTTTGAGCAAAATCAATATACTAAATGCATACTATTTTGCATACTACGTTATGTCTTTTTTTACTTCTGAAGATCAAAACCATATTGCCAGCACCATTTTGAAAAGAATTAGGATTTCATGTACGTGGTATTTTCCCTTGCAATTTTTTTTATACATGAATTTGTTCAATTCATATTCCTCAGAACATTATCATGCATTTGCACGTATATTATCATGATTGTGTAAATTTGAAACTGTCCCCATGGTTTCATGTTTATATATTTCTCAATCTATAAAATATTTCTTGGAAATTAATCCTGGAATGTAATATTTAAAAAAAATATATATTTGTTTACAAAAATAGAGAACTAGCTCTAGCTGACACTTTGTGCTCGATCTTCACAACTGCCATAAAATTCATGACATTTGGATCCTTTTCTCATTCACTCTGTATTTTTAATTAATTGTTTAACTTTTCTTTTACTGGTACACTGCAATCCTTGCCTGTCCAACCTCTGAAACATCTACAGGTGCAGACATTCCCCCCTCTATCCCCCTCCTCAGTACCCTTTCTCCTTGCTCCTGCAGGCAACCTTCTTGTTCCCCCGCATTTCAATATATCCCCGACGCAACGCCCCTTTCCACTACATATCCTCTTGCTGCAAGACTCCGCCCCTTCCTGCGACATCCTCACTGTCGGACCTAAGGCACTCTTGATATAGCTCTGTAAATGCGAACAAGCCTCAGCACTCTTGTCATCAAAATTGTCCCCCCAAAATATGACACCATCGACTCCCAACTCGGCAGACTGGAGAATGGTGTCGTTCAAGTTTTCCTGAAAAGGAGTAGCAAAGGACATAAAATGTTGAGCTGAAAAAATCATGAAGTGTAGTGTGATCTTACTTGTGATCTATGTTGTTGGTGATGGTGATGGTGGTTATTTTACTTGACTGCTAAGAAAGCATAAATGCTTGTAAGTAAGCAACCAGACAGCCAACGGCTTTAGGTCCTCTCCGAGGGACCTGCTAATGAGGATTAATGCCTTACCAAAGGGCACTAGCGCATCCACTTGGTCTCGAACCCAGGTCACCAGTATACAAGACCACTGCTCTACCGACTGAGCTATTGCACCTCCTACATGTGCGTACAAACTACCTAAGGTCAAATGTAAGTATGACCTTTCATGTTTGTTTGGTATTATGCATAAAGAATTACCCTCTAAATACTCCCATTGTCATAAACTTTGCAATGCATGTCCCCGTTTTCTTCTCAGGAGGGCAAAACAAACAGAAATTGCAAAAAATGTTAGTACAGCATGTTCATTTTTTGGTAGGACTCCTGGGGGGTGTTTCACAAAGATCTTAAGTTAGACTTCAAAATTATGGAAAGCCGTTAGCATCTTTGAAAATATTTTGTAAAAGTACTTTTAAAAGGCATAAAATGGTGATTCAAATCATACATGTTTTCTATCATCAAGTAGATTTCATGTTCTTGATGTGGAATTTATTAAAAAGTCTAAAATACTTGAATTTTCGTTTTTGAATATACTTTATTTTAAGGCTACAAATGGCTCTCCATAATTGTTAAGTCCAACTTAGAGTTAAGTTCGACTTAGGATCTTAGTGAAACACACCCCTGATCCTTGGATTGAGAAATGGTTTTGAGCTAGGGTCAACAATCTGTATCAATTTTGTCTTAACAAAAATCATTTCCCTGCACACAAGTTAAAAGGGAAGTCCACTCTGATAATTGGTTGGCTTTAATGAAAGCTGAAAATGGGAAAAACAGAGTAGTGTAAGCTTGGGCAAACTGTGCAAAAATAAGAAAGTTATACAATTTTGTTAAGTTGTATTCAAGGAAATACATTTTGGCAATGCTATATATGACATGTCTTGTTATGAGGTATTCTCCCACTTGCTCTATACATGTACAGACAATTTCATAGATTTCCATTTTCTCAGTTGCTAATGAAGGAATACATTTTTTTCATATATTAGCTAGGGCTATGTAGAGGCATTTGAGTACAGTGTATATCTTTGGGGCATGTTTGTTTTCATTTTTTTATTTTTTTTTTAATTTTATTTTTACAAATGAGCGATGATCATGTACATGTAAGATACATTTACAGTGTATACAGAGCTGCTAACTTGTGCATAATTGATAACATTTTCAAAAATTCATAACTTTCCTCAAACTTAAACAAATCTTTTCCCCTCATTTTTTGGACACCTACTTTAGATCACGGTGGACTTCCCGTTTAAGAATGGAACTCTACTGATAACATACCAGACTATAGAAGAAACCTGTGTGGCTGTAGTTGAATCTGGTGTAGCTGAAGACAACTCCTTGAGGGTCACCGGATCTATCTCTCACTCTGAAGGCCTCCTCCAACTTGCTCTTGACATATGCTTTCTGATTGGTGTGTGTCGGTCTGAGATAGATGGAAGGATAGAGGGAACTGCTCTCGTTGAACAACCACATGACATCATTGTTAGTTGCCACTGCTGTAGCTGTGCAACTCATGTTAGCTGTTTCTTTGTTATTGAAGCAGTACGGGTACGCATAGTAGCCCCATGAAGCCTTCGGTCGCAGGGTCGTTCCCAGTTTCAGAGTGCTCTCCATAAACAGCTTGGCACCCTCGGTCCACTCCAGCTTTGCAACCAATTCAACCGTGGCATTGTCCCACTCAGGATGCATCTTTTTCACATGGGCAATGGACTCTTGTTGGTAGACAGCAAGCGTGTCAAAGTTATCATGCCACTGGGGACGCCAAGCCTCCCAGTCAATGACGCTGACACCATCAAAGTTTGGGTCTGGGATGGTGCTCATGATGTCTGCTGCAGATTTCTCTAGGTGCTGGGTGATGTTGGCTAGCTGTTGGAAGTTTTAAATAAATACTGAATTATTTAAAGGATTGTGAGGATTTGGATGCAATGATCAGTACTTTGTTAATGTCAGCATTTGGAGAATCGTTATCTATTAAAACAAGTTAAACATTTTATAATTAAATGGAATTCACCTCTTAAATATACCTGTCTAGTTTGCTTAGATTGCTTAAAAATTTCCTTTTTGTAACTCAATTTTTGACTTGCACTCAGTAGATAAAGATGGCGTGCTTGATCTTTTAATTGAAAACAAGCCTGAAAAAATCTTGGAATTTAGCAGGATTTGAACCTACCATCTACTGCTCGCCAGGCATCGACTCTACTCCCAGGCCATCTCTGGTCTATGGCACATTAACAATGCATTGGAAACAAATAACTCAGCTCCCCTGACTCAGAACTTTAGAGTGTAAAAAATCTAGATATGTCTATCATTTGCAGTATTCATGGATGAGAAGTACACATAAGTTAATTTTTCGTATATGATTCATATGTTCATCTTTTTTTAGCTTCGTAGCAGACATGTAGTTCATTATCACTTCAGTATAAATTGTTGCTTTGTTGTGCAGGTCAAAATCTATAGTCCTTGACTTGATTTACGATTTGTTTTTTGGCAGCGCCTGCGCGCCCTGCTTTGAAATTGTTATTTTTTGTCCTCTAGCAATTCTGGAATTTCTGTTGCATATGCCCAGGACCTCGCTTGTCAACAGAGTTTGTCCTTGTCATACTTTATGACAGGGGTATAATCTCATTTGTGTGGGACCCCATGCAAACTGACCACAAGTGTAGGTTGGACTTTGCTTTAAATAAGCCCAGGGTCTTCCTTGTCAAGAGAGTCTGTCCTTGTGTTATGTAACAGCAAGGACAGACACTCAGTCACGTGCAACCCCCGACTGACCCAAAGCAGAGGCCAGACTGTGTCCTCAGTTTGAGGACAGATTCTGCCCTTATCTGGAGGTCGGGTTGTATCCTTGCTGATAGCTCCCTATATAAAGCCAAAAAGATAAAAATTGACAGACTTCATCTCAAATCTTTAATTTGCTGCCGCTTTCCAAATTTGCTAGCGTTCTGATAATACACTGTACATGTACTGTAGTGTAGGTAGTGCCAAGTTTAGAGAACACAATTTCTCAACTTTAATACTGAACTTTCCATCATAGTTATAAAAGAGTTAACAAATAGAACTGAAATTCATCTACTCCCATCTCTTCTTTCACCTATGATTTGTGTACATGTAAGGGTGAGAGAGAGAGAGACTGAGTGAGAAGAGAAAAAGAGTAGCAGGATCTATGTTTAAAATGTTTAATCATAATCGAGGCAAGCTAAACTGGTACAGCCAAGCTGACTGCTGAAAATGCACTGCCCCAAAATACATGTACCTTGGCTGTCCAAGGAATCCTTACAAAATACATTGATTTTCAAAATCATGAAATTGTATTAATTCTGCTTCATCATCTCATTTTGTATTGATTACAAAAAGGTGCTTTTTTACAATACTTAAAAAATAAAACTAAGTTAAATATCAATGATTGCTACAAACAATTGAAGCGTGTTTAGCGTTTGACCCCAACCCAATGTACGCAACAACCAGATGCTGGTGATTGTACGTCACGCACAGATGCAGATGCAATCATGACAATTTATATACGATTTGTAAATTTATACAAATAATTAATAGTAGAGTCTAATTGACAAGAAAATATGGAATAGAGTTGTAATTAACTCCTCCAGATTGTCAAAAAATTAAAATTATACTAGTTTAACACCACAACACAGTCCGCTAATTTGATAAGTCATATGCATGATGTACAAGTCTTGCACAACATAGTCTACTGTAAGACAGATGTTTTGTTGATCTTCAAATGCGTCGATTTTGACATTCGAAAACAAATATTATTACTAATACTAATTAAAAGTTACTTTTCAAGTTTTGTCAAATTTGTAACGTACAGTGTTTTTGTTAAGGCCTACCAACGTACCTGTGGCAATCCTCCATTGATGGGAATGGGTGTACTTTTAGTACTTTTACTGCCAGCTGCGTATTCGTAACGAGGATACAGTCCAAGCTCGTTTGAATAGAACAGGTTGATCACATTGCCACCAGTACCTTGGTGATTACTGTTAAATTCAATCCCGAAATCCGACAGCGGCAACTCTATGCCAAAACGTTCCTTGCAGGAGTTTGGAAGGTCCCAAATTGCTCGGAAAATTCTATCGGTGTTTGCGCCGTTACTACCCCGGAGCTTAGGTGGCGGACGATGGTTATTAACCGTATCAGGAGCTGCGGCTGGTTCATGTTCCACGTTTTCTCCTGCGAAGTTGGTTGTTTTCATCAAATTGACATAGAATTTCGAATGAGCAAATGTCTCAATTGACGCACAACATAGGATGGTCAGGAAAGTAACGTAATGACTTCGGAAATTTATCAAATTCATAACGACAGCTATTACTAGTCGCTGCTGAATCACCAAGGCCAAGAAGAGTTGTGAATACTAGTTTCTTAGCTCAATGCATGCACTGCATGCATGCACTGCAACAAAACAAACCAAAATGGCCACGCCCCCAAGCTTAGTCTTTCATTCAGAGAAATTTTTGATTCCTTTTCTTTCTGGCTCAGGTTTCCTCTAAGACTTACTTATAAGCTTCATGAAATATGAGCCTAACACAGAGACGGCCCTCCGGGAGGGGAAGGAGGGGGGGGGGAGGGCAGGGTGAAAGGGGGTCACAGTGCCCCCACTATTTCAAGTTCCCCAATTAATTGCGCCCATTTAACTTTGTAAGAAGTGCCCCTTTTACTTTGACAAGTGCCCCTTTTCCTTTGTAAGAAGTGACCCTTCCCTTTTTTACTTGAATAAGCGCAACTTATGTTTCCACATGTGCCCCCTTTTTCCTTACTAATAAGTGCCCCCTTTCCAAATGATAAGTGCCACCATTAAAAAAAAAGTGCCCCTTCCCCTTCTGAGTCTCATAAATGCCCCAATTCATCTCTTTTAAATGACCCTTTTCATGCACATTTTCCTTCACTGTAAGTGCCCCTTTTTCATTCTCATATCTGGTCATTGCCCAATAATCAAGTGCAATATATTTTCTATAAAAAAAAAGTAATTCAGGCATAAAGACTTCTCTACTATTAGCTCCTTTAAGAGGTAAAATCATAATAAAAATATGAAACGCTACCCATTCAACCAAGACAAACTTAATTTATTAGCATAGATTATCATGCCTGATTTCACCGACTCCATTCATATGGTAAAAATGTCAAACAAAATTGAATACTATTTTTCAAGATCGATCTCAGCCAGTCAAAACAAAAACTTATTTCATAAGATTTGTTTAACAAGATAAAAACAATTTATATCAATGGTATTACAATCATGCAGGAAATAGGCTTACAATTTTGTAATAAACAATGTAAATGTTACTCACTAATGGTAATTTTTTTTTTTTTTTTTTTTTTTTTTTTTTTTTTTTTTTTTTTACTATAGGCTAGAAGTTATAGGTTTCCTATATCTCAGCTTGTAATACCTCAGTTATCAACCAATACAAAGGCAATCTGTGATTAAGCAAACTGTAACACTGGCCTCTAGACAGTTTCATGGAGATTTGTATTGAATGATCTCATTTCATTATCACAGCTTTCACACATAGGCCTATCTACAAAATTAAGGTCGCCGACTATCTAACAGCCACTTTCTTTAAACTGGCATACATCAACCCATCCAAGCAATACTATGAATAAAACTAAATACAGACAGGGACAATAGTTAGAGAACAAAGTGGTACATTCTAAAATAAATATCCATACATACTGTATCACTCAATCATGCAATGATAGCACATCCTCTCTCTCTCTCTCTTTCCACATTCTCTTTATCTTTCTCTCTCTTTCTTTTCCCTTCTATTTTTCCTATTTTTTTTTCTTTCTCCCATTCTCGCTCCCTCTATAAAAAACAAACCCTATACTTTCTCAATTGCTTTCTCCATAAAGAGACTTATACATCGTTCTTTGATTGTCTTTAAAGGCAATACAACTACCGTATTATTGGTATTCTTTTCAATTTCCATTATGTTCATTCTAAAATATCCCTTTGTCAGAAAAGTAAAGGAAACATGTGTTACAAAATTTGAATCCTTTAAACTCGAAAGTCAATTTACATAATTATGCATCCGTACTGTTCTTTGCACAAATTATTCAATTGGAAAACAAATTAATTTAAATAACGAAAGTACTGTGATTTATTAAAAGCATCATTTCAATTTCATGCAAAATACATTATAATTTCCGTCAATTTATTAATACATGCATCTTCCAACAACAAAAAATCAATTATCATCTTGACAAATATCTTCAATAAGGCAATAAAGACAGCAAAACACTAAGCTTATGGTTTGAAAGGGAGATTCTGTAACTGAGTTTCACACTGGTTGAAGGCTGTAAGTGGGCAACCAGGAGACCGACAACTTTAGGTCCTCCCCAAGGGACTTGGCAACAAGGATTACTGCCTTAAAAAATTGCAGTAGCACATCAAATTGGTTTTGAACCCCTCATCTTTAACATCAAATACATGTATATCTCATCCTTTAATGTATCTGAATATCTTCCTCCATATTTGGTATCAACTTTGAAATTTGGCCTCTGTAAAAATAGATGTGTGCTTGAGACATTCTGACTCAAGAGGCTCACAGCATATACTTTGTTAATTGAACTCTGCTGTCCAAGTATGTTGTGCACTATAATTATCAGCATGGACTGTACAGGGTGTCTAAAAAAAATGCTGAGATATTTAGATCGGCAACATCTTAAAAAGTATTCAGCTATTCTCAATGAGATTTTTTTGGTAATATTGTGGTCATAACCCTTTTTCAGTTATGGAATATGCAGAAGATCAAAGTGAGGGGCAAGGTCGAAAGTGAAAAGATTCAAAATGAACTGCTCTTGTTCAACTGTGCACATATATTTATGCACAAACATTATATTCCTATTGATACTGGAAGTACAATAGAGATGACTATGAACATTTATCTCTGACATGTTTAGCTTAATTTCTACAACTTTCAAAAAGTGATGCATTAAGTTCCGTCATTAGATATTTGTTGAGATAACAAAATAATAGCATAAATAAGACTGACTTTATAAATGTAATAAAATGCTTTCAGCACTACCTGCGGTTCTAAAGGCATAACAATCACAAAAGCAGTAATCATGCACGTGTCCATGTACATTAGTTACATCAACTTACATGCACATCATAAGGCATACAGGTTGTTGTCAACTGCAGAATATAAATGTAATTCAAATGTGTTTATTTGACAAATTAAAAAGACTGATAACACGAAACAGGATAAACCATAATGTACAAAGTCTTGCACGTAGAAGGGTCGTGAAGGTACCTTCACATTATCGGTCTGTTTAGGTTCGCATTGGTATTGGCATTGGGGATAATATCCAGGAAAAAGATAGACAAAATGTCTAATATTCCAACTGTTGATTTCTGTCCTGCATTATATTTTTACTTTCACAGAAAAATATGATTATCAATCTGAAATTTGAATCAAAGACGTTATGGCACTTAGCCCTATAACTTATATATATCTTTTAGCTCATATATATTATCATATATACATCAAACTTTTATTACAAATGCAGAAAATTGCATTCTCCAATCTACCTACATGTATTAACAGGATACAATACCAATATAGACTAATACCACAAGCAGGATGGCTGCTAGTCTCAAGGTAAAAAAGGTTGAAGGAAGAAGAAGAAGCAGAAGGAACTCCATATCCATAATTCCCTCAGAGAACCAAGCTGTCACGGATTGGCAACATTAAAAGTGCTGATCTATCCACTTTAACAAATAACCATCTCATTAACCGAAAGCATCCACTAATGCAGTAACTTTAGAAGAAGAAAATGAAAACACTACACATTTATCTCATTGCGAAAAAGAATATTGCTCTACTCTGCTTTGGAAGTACAAGAACAAATGCCTAAATTTTCTCCCCTAACATGATGCAATCATTCCTCTACTCCTCCACCATCAAGCGCTCCAGCTTTCCAGCTGCAAATGCTTGATCTGTGTAAAAGTAGAACGTTCAGCTCATGGCTCAGGCTCTAGTACCACCGCTTCACTGCTTCTCTCGAGGCAAATGTATGCTAATCTTTCTTTCTAAGCAAAGAATCTTCCAACTCTTTGGTTGAAGGTTAATATGCTTCCATGTTGTGAACATCTATGCGACCATCATCCTCATGAAGCACACACATCTATTTTCCCTTAGAACTTAGAACAGGATCTCATCCTTCTTCGCAGGTTTCCTACACGCCCAGCTACGCTCTTCTTTCTTCCCAAGCAAAAAATCTTACATACCGGTAACCTTGGTTGAAGTTTAATGTGCTTACATGTTGTGAACATCTATACAATCATAATCCTCATGAAGCCCATACATGTCTCATCCTTCTTAGCAGCTTTCCTACAAGCGCAGCTACGCTCTTCTTTCTTCCCAAGCAAAAATGTTTAACATAACCTTGGTTGGAGTTGAATATGCTTACATGTTGTGAAGTTGAACATCTATGCAACCATCATCCTCATGGAGCCCAGACATATATCATCCTTCTTAGCAGCTTTCCTACAAGCACAGCTGTACTCTACTTTCTTCCCAAGCAAAGAATCTTACATTACTTTGGTTGAAAGGTGATGCTTACATATGGCTACTCCAATGTAATCATCCTCATGAAGCGATTATACCTGATTTTTCCCAGAAGTGTGGATCTTCAGGAGCTCGTCCATCTTCACCATCTTCCTGAAAGCAAAGCTACACTATTCTTCCTTTCTAAGCAAAGAATCAAAGAATACTTTGTTTGAAAGTTTGACAGGCTAGCATTCTGCCATTTCTGCATGTACATGAATATTCCTGGAGCACATTGCTATCTCATTTCTTCCAGAAGTTTGGATTTTGCGAGAGTTTTCTCTGGAAGTTTTCGTACCACTTGGTGAGGACGTCAGTCGGGAGGTACTGGACACCGGGCTGTGGGGTCATCTGAGCTTGGGTGATGCTGAAAGACGAGGCATAGTTGTAAAAGTTCTCCAACATCTTCTGGGTGAATTGCACAAAGGATTCAACATTAGACGCCTGTTCAAAAATGAAGAAAGAAAGAAAAGAAAAGAGAAGGGGTTTAAAATGACAGAGCAGGTACTATGAACTGATACATGAAAGATGGTGGATAGAAGGGGGAAAAAGGGATCACAGATTTACAGAATAGATAAAAGTGTATAGCAGTGTTAAATAGAGGAACAGCCACAGTTGGAAAAATAGAAAATGGCCTCAAAGAAATCAAACAGAGACAGAGGGAGAGAGAGCAAGACAGCAAAAGGACATGACATGTACAAAACAAGAGAGAATATAGAAGAGCACATAGACTGACAAAATGAGTCATATTAAAGGAAATAGAAAGAGAAAAAAATACAGAAAAGGGATTTGAAACATTAATGCACATTGTTGTGGTAGATTCTGCAAGAAGGAGAAGAAGTTTTTTACCCAAGGTAACCTCATCAGTATTAATACTGTTCATCCAGAGGGCATTGCAATCACTACCCTAGCTTTAGAAGAAAGAGATCTACATGTATGCCATAACTTGTTATGCTCATTGACCTCTTAAGATTGCCATGTTCCAAACATTTACATACACTAGAAATATAATAATCTTAGTTCCTTTTATTTGTATGATAGTGTTTCATTCCTTTCAATCAGGGCAAGTGAGTGTCCATTTCAGCTAAAAACTTAAATTTCTATGCGCTGTGTCTGTATTTTATCTCATCATCCTAAAAAGAAGTTACAAATCTATGGCATCATCAGTATCTTCATACATTTGGCCAGTAATACCAGTTTGTTTTACCTGCAGACCCTGAAATTTGACCCACAAATAGTGGATCCCCCATATACATTATACTCTACTGTAAACGGTGTTGTTTATACTTTGTTGCACTGAGTGACCACAAAACATATTCGCAGGTTCTTAAATACGCGTTGCACGCAATTCAGCCCGTTCAAAACATTCATAAGAAGCTTATTCATTTTCACGAGTACTACAATTCGGGCTTGCCAGTCTTAGCGCAAAATCTGTGAAAATGAATGTATCGCAAATATTTTTACTTTTACAGTATACAATTTAACCCTTAAAAAAAGCCTGAAACTAATAACCACCATTTAAAAATGATATTAGGCCAGAATATGGTATATACATACTTGGGTATTTGCTGCTGGTGTCTGTTGCTTCAACTCTGCCAGTGGCTCAACAGCGATACCTATATGAGCAGAAGTGGAGGGAAGCTGCGAATTACTCTGCTGTGCATGCATGAAGAAGTTGTTGGATGTTGATTGGACTGGAAGAAGATGAGACGAGAAGATAGGCATGTTTAGAGAGGAAACCAAATTTGGGAAGATTGATTAATATATTAGTTTCGTTACTGAAGCATTGCCCACTAAAAAAAATAAAAAATTAAAAAGGTTTAACCCTTAACTACCACTAAGTATTTGTCATATAATGTTAAAGAAGAGGTTTTGATCATAATAAATTTTCTAATTGTTATGTCTTTCAGGGTGATATGAGACTACAATTCACCCTGCATAAGCCAAAGCTGTTGGGGCTGCAACTAATAGTGTGACTTATGCAAAATTGTTCATGGAAAATATAAACAACGCAGGCTTTTGCATAGTTCGGTAAATAATTTGTTTGTATCCATCTTCGGTGAAGAATTTGTCTTGTGCAACTTCGAGTTAATATAAAGTGGAGATAGCTGTATTGCCCTAGACAGAACCATATGGCCTGAGTTTCCAACTTGTGCATGTAAAATCAACCTGCGTTGGACTGTACTGAAAAATTACACTTTCTGGGTGATCAGAAGATGCTAATTATCTAGCTTTACACAACTGCTTTATACTGGACCTCTGTTTCTGAGTTGACTTGTCATGAATTTTGATTTAGTCTAGTTTGTGTCTCACTTAGCTCAAAGTCTTCAGTCTGTCTTAGTTTGAGACCAGTACTGGTCCCGAGCCACAGCACCATCTCTGTAACTCACTATTTTTCAGTCCCGATATCTTGAAAATGACACTGGGTTTCTCATTCGAGATGTATCCCAGGTTATGCCATGTCAGACTGCTGGGGCTGGGCTGGCCGAAGTGGACCGCCGCTCCGGTACCCTCTGGGAAGGCTGTAGCACCGGTGAGGAAGATGATCACGTGGTTGATGTCAGCAGCATTATCGAGGTTGAAGATGAAGTGAGTCGCGTCAACCTGCTGGGGCTCCCCTTGCACCTGCAAGAGAAATTCAAATATGAAAAATTGCAACAAAATGGATGTAAATCCAAATTCAGTACCTCTCTCAGATATCCAAGTACATTCTAAAAGAATGTACTGGTACTTACAGTGTATAGACCTACCCTTGGCCTATCTTTCAGAAATATTTGACTCTAATGCTCAACTTGAATCCTCAGGGATTGTTGACCCTACTTTCGCTCATGCTGATGCAACTATTGTTCTGAAATTAACCCTAGACACAGGTATACATGTATAGGGTTGGGTTAGGGGGCAACTGGTCTTTAGGTTAGTATTAGTGTAAGGGCTAGGGGTACGTACAAACTACATTGTTGGATCATGGTTGAATCAAGATATTGACGAAGAGCAAAACCAATATTGAAAAAGCCAGTGACAATTCCTAGTCTTTTGCCACTGCTTAAAAGAAACTAAAACCTTCATACTAAGTTACTTTTATTGTAAATTTTAAGATATTTGAAAAATATCAGTGAAAATTTGAACAAAATCGGGCAAGGAATAAGGAAGTTAGAGCTTTTTGAAATGACTAGTCACTAGAGGGCGGTATTCAATTTGATGACATCATCTGTGGACAACTCTCCATGTCTTTTGTACATCAAATTTCATGTTTTTCCTTCTTTCTTGTGATTGAGATAATCTACTCCCCTGAATGCAAGATATAGACTGCAAAATGATATTCTACTTCACATGTTAAGAAGTCGGATCAAGAACACAAATAAATACGAAGAAAACAACAAAATTGTGAAATTTTATGTACAAAAGGCATGGAGAGTTGTTCACAGATGATGTCATCGAATTGAATACCGCCCTCTAGTGACTAGTCATTTAAAAAAGCTCTATCTTTCTTATTCCTTGCCCGATTTTGTTCAAATTTTCACTGATTTTATTCAAATCTTTAAAACTTTACAATAAAAGTAACTTAGCATGAAGGTTTTGGTTTCCTTTAAACTTGTCATACATATGAAAGAATACCTGCACAATTTCAGCTTTTTGAGTTTATGGGCAGCTGAACTACAAATAATCACTTTCATAGTCATGCTTATTTGTAGACATTTTTCTTTCTTGGCATCCTAAGTTCTACTAGAGTGAACTTGGCATTGCCTGGCAATAAGGTTCCAAGTACCTGTATTGAATTTAGGCCAACCTATAAATTGAAAATTTGTCCACATATCCTTTTCCTAAACTGAGAAGATAAAATTGCTTTACTTTACGGATTCAATTAATGTAATTCGAGGTTGAAGACCTATCCAAAATTGAAAAAATGTGCGCAAGCAACAAGATGGTAATAAATGCTTAGAAAACCAAGAGCACGCTTTTAAGTACCCATCAGAAATTACGTCGCTTGGACATTAAAGATTTGAAACTAGAGATAAATGGTCAGATGATAGAAAGTACTACAAGTTATAGACTTCTAGGAGTAGAGATAGCCCAACATTAAAGCTATACAAAACAGGTCAACAAGCTTCATAGATTGCTATGCTTCCTCCTAGCTAAATTCAGGAAGATCAAACCTCTTCTCCCAACAGATGCCAGAATAAAATTCTGTCATGCTCACATCTTGTCTAACTGCGGCTCCTGCAATTTCATATGAGGCAGTTCAAATCTAGACAAACTGCTTAAGGTGCAGAAAAGAACCGCTAGAATGATATTCGATGAACCATGTAGATCTCCTTCGAAACCACTCTTTGATCAACTAAAATGGATGCCAATAAATGATTGTATTGCATTCAGGATATCAACTATGGTATATAAGTCCCTGAACGATCTAACCCCAAAATACATGGCATACCCATTTCATTATGTACATGAAACACATAGTAGAAACACAAGAAGTGCATCCTCTTGCAAATTGTACCTTCCCCCTGGCCACCACCTCAAAAATTTTGAGAAATATTTCAGCTACTCGGCAGGTAGAGAATGAAACTGCTTACCCGAGAATGTCAGATTATCCCTGGTCTTAACAACATTCAAAAGTTCATATCAGAGATGGTATGACAGCCAATAAAAACAACAAACACTGCTATGCCCTACAACTAGATAGATAAGACGTGTTATCTTATTCTCATCTTTGATCTAATGTGCCCCCCCCCCCCTCCGAAGTGCTATACGAGGCATTATACACAAAACACATTTCATCTTATCATCAAAATTTGCAATCTAATAATTTTTAAATTCACAAATGTTATTTAATTTGGTATCATTCACAAAATGTACCCAGACTCATATGTGATTTCGTATTGCCTTCTGATGTAATATTTTTTCGAATAACGGAATCTTTATTATATAAATCCTATCATCTATATTGTATTTTATGCTTTTGTGTTTTATAATTTACACAGTTTTTGCTATTTTTGTTTTTTGGAAAAAATATGTGATAATTTTGTTATCCCAGAGTAAAGGAGGGGGTAATCGACCAGCACCAGTTTTAGGCCGATCCGTTGGATGCATGGTAAAATCCCTTTAAAATACATCGCATAACAGCATATCACATATCCCACACATACCATACCATGCCAGAGTCACTGAAGAACCACATTTGCAATGGAAAGTATATCCTAAAATATCACATTTTAGCGATGTAATCGGCGGTCCTGCTACTCGAATCTGAAAAATCAAGTATCTTACGCATTTCTGTAAGAAATATGGGTACCATAAAATGAGCTTTACATCAAGTATTTTTCAGATTTAGAGCCTGATTTTGTGTTAGTCGCAAGCTCAAAAGTATCTCACCACATGTATTAAATCAATGCAGCCGGACACCGCAACGCACACACGAAAGCTCTGTCTAATTTAGATTCCAATTTCCGATCACCGCAGTACTTGTTTTCGGCCTGGCGAGCTCCGGGGAGCTCCGGCGGGGGATACCTGCTCCGACCGGTAGTGCTATAGATCAGCGCGGAAACGCACGGTGCGCGTGCGCGCTTCCTGTTGACTTTGTTCATGAGGCCAAAAACTGGTTCGCTATGCCGATAACTGCCTCCGAAACAGTGAAAATTGAAATAAATATTGTCATGGCAATTCGTGATTTTTTTCTGGGATTCTTTTTTTGTTTAAATAATGATCATATTTGCTTCATGATTTGAACAAGAAATGATAATAAATAGGAAGGGTCCAAACAATAGGATTTTGTCTTAAGTGGCCGAAAACCCCCTCCTTTACTCTATTTACTTAATTTAATAGTTTATAATTTTCTTATTATATTATGCATGTATTTCTTATCAGCCAAATATCAATTATGAATCTCATTGTAATCAATTAATGTATAATTCTTTTCAGTATGTTGTAAACTATTTTCATACGTATTGTTTAATGCTACGTGTGTTAAATAATAATAATAATAATACATATGATTTATAAGGCGCCAAATCCACTTGACAGTCAAATGCTCAAGGCGCAGCTTGTGCAAAAGATGAAATACATACTTGATACATTTATACAAAGTGCGATAAGAAAGGTACAGACATGAAAGGTAATGGTAATCAATTATAAGCTAAATTAAACAGATATTTCTTAAGATTGTTTTTTAACACCTCAGCAGAACTGCTATTCTTAACCCATTGAGGGAGAGTATTCCATAACGAAGGCCCAGCATGAGCGAAGGTTCGTTCCCCCCACTTTGTTTTAACCCTAGGAGTAACAAGTAAGCCAGAGTTTTGAGAACGTAGCTGTCTAGAAGGAAAGTAATGCTTAATCAAGCCGATGTTATACTGCGGAGCAGAGCCATGTATACAGTGAAATAATAGCAAAATAATCTTGAAAACAACACGTTTTTCTACGGGCAACCAATGGAGTGATTTGAGGACTGGTGTGATGTGACTGTACTTGTTGGACAGGGTCACGACACGAGCAGCAGCATTCTGTAATCTTTGTAATTTTGCGAGTAGGTTGTGAGGCGAACTAAACAAAAGGCCATTACCAAAATCCAAGCGAGAAGAAATCAAAGCATGAGTAATTTTCTCGGTGGCACCACGGTTAAGATATTTACGAATAAAACCCAAATTGCGTAACTGATAACGTACTGATTTTGAGACATATTGAATTTGAGTAGACATTTTCATGTTTGAGTCGAGAAACACACCAAGGTTGCGACATACATTAGATAGGGTAATTTCATGTCCAGCAAGAGTAATTGAAGTGATGGAAGAAATCTTCTCTAACTGAGTCTCAGAACCATACATTATAAATTCGCATTTGGCGAGATTTAATTTCAGTGAATGTGAGTTTAACCAATTATGAACATCTTGTACACAAGTCTCAATGTTATGGATAGCGCTGGCTGCATTGCTCTGATTGGGTTTGAAAGAAGTATATATTTGAATATCATCAGCATAAACATGATAAGAGAGAGAATGGCGATGAAAAATACTCTTCAAACCCGTTAAATATAACGAAAAAAGCGTGGGCCCGCCCACAGAGCCTTGTGGAACTCCGCATGTAAGTGGTACAAAATCTGAAAGGTAGCCGTTTATCAAGACAGCTTGAGAATGGCATAACAGGTATGATTTAAACCATTCCAGGGCTTGACCTTTAATACCGAGTGACATGAGGGTATTCACCAGAACAGTGTGGTTAACAGTGTCAAAGGCGGAAGACAAATCAAGGAGTACCATAGCAGTTACTTTTCCGCCATCCATCTCCTGGAGTATAAAGTTGGATACATTAACAAGGAGGGTTTCTACACTGTGGTGGGGACGGTATGCAGATTGAAATGGGTCAAGGAGGTCATTATCGAGACAGTAATCATTTAATCTAGAGAACACCACCCTCTCAAGTATTTTAAATAAAAACGGGAGATTAGAAACTGGACGGTAATTACTTAGTAATTCAGAATCAAGATTGGGTTTCTTCAGTAAAGGAAGAATGTGTGCCGTTTTAAGAACAGAAGGTACGCATGCCTGAACAATACTTAAGTTGACAATCTGTGAGATAACAGATGCAAATGAAGAGGAGCAATCCTTAACGAGAACAGTATAGACAGGGTCTAGTTTACACGACTTAGCTGGCAATCTATGAAGCAGTGATTGTATCTCATCGGAGGTGGTAGGTTGAATTGTCTCGAGGGATGCTGACGTGACAGGATCAGGTGGAGTTAAGTCAGGAGTGAGACTGTCCTGGATCTTCTGAACCTTGGAGCGGAAGAACTGAATAAATCTTTGAGCCAGTTCTTTACTACCAGAATGTCTTGGAAGTGGAGAGTTCTGTTTCCGATTCAAGAGACGATTGGCCGTAGAGAAGAGTTTCTTAGAGTCATGTCCACATTTATCGATTAGCCCGACAAAGTACGAACGTTTGGCTCGTTCGACGAGAGAGTTCGTGAAATCTCGTTGCGCACGGAACATCTCTTTGTCAATGTGAAGCTTGCCGTTAGATCGCCATCTCCGCTCAAGCTGCCTACGTTTACGTTTCTCAGCAGTAATCTCCCCGTTGTACCAGGGATTGTCCTGACGGTCTCGAACCTTGCGGATCTTGGCAGGAGCGTGAATATCGAGGAGCGAAGAAAGAATGGTGTTGTAGCGACTAGTAGCTGTGTTGACACTCTCTGACGTTAAGGGCATAATGTCGCTCTCAGCAACATCCTTCGCGAAGGCTATCCTGTTTATGTCTTTAATATTACGGGAAGCAAATGTTCTGTCGCTGCGTGCAGGCTTAGTGAAGCGAAGTACACAAGTGATAGCAGCATGATCTGATATACCTGGAACGATACTTGGCTTCGAAATTGACAAATTGTCTGAATTGCGAACCAGAACGACGTCCAGAATGTGACCTTTGTCGTGAGTCGGAGATGTAACCAATTGGGATAGGCCATGACTGTTAATAAGGTCCACAAACCTGAGTGTATGCTGGGATGAAGTGTTATCTAGATGGATGTTTAAATCTCCGGTGATCAAAAGTGGGTATGGTTTGCACAACCTCTCATCAAGAAGCGCAGAGAAGTCGATAAGAAACTGAGTGAAAGACTGGTATCCTGGTGGTCTGTATATGACTATAATGTCAACCTGTGTAGAGCCGCCAGATACAGTTCCAGACATTGATTCAAATGTTTCGAATTTACCTGTTGGACTAATATCGACGTGGAGACTGTCCCTGTAGAGAAAGCCGACCCCGCCGCCACGTTTAGCAGCTCTGGGATGGTGCTTGAACAGATAACCACGAGGGCAAAGATCAGCAATCACTGCATCGTCTGATGCAGTTAGCCAAGTTTCGCAAACACATGTAAAATCTAAACTATGGTCAATAATAAATTCCTCTAATAAGGTAGATTTATTACGAACAGAACGGCAATTCAACATACCAAGTTTGAGGTTGTTACTAAAAGGATCACGGCCCCCCTTCATACCTCGATGTGTCTTCCGCCCTATGTCATGTCTGTTAATACCTAAAGACATAATCAACATAATTCCTCATTCTGTTCACGCCACAGTAGCGAGCATGAACGCGAAGTGAAGTGTTTTGCTGTCATACTTGTATGATATAGAATACCTTGTACTGTTATCGTTATCCGAGGAGGCCGAGTTATGTGTGACAGGGCCTGGGTTCGGATTCACATCGCCAGATAACAATATCAAAATCTGAAAAGTGGATACACTGTTAGCGTATAACTGTACTGGAGCACAAAAATGTTTTCCCTTCAATTTCAACTTCAACGAATATGCATCAGGTCTAGCTTCTAAATACATGTAGGGAACATTTTGTACATGTGGATCAGAAACCAGATCAGAAGCATGACACCATTGTTGCATTACATGACACTTACAGTACAACATGACCACACAGCACACAAAAGCTACTGAAGTGGTGAGATTCATTGTAATAGTACAGGTCTATTCAAAGCAAACAAAGAAAGAAAGTCAGCACAGACTTTACGCATGAGTGAACAAACCAACTACACTATGACATGTGTATAACATGGCTTCTACTGTGTACTGTATGTGTGAGTACAACCTCAAGCAATCTCGAAAACTTCACAGAATAAGTACATCAAAAATACTGACCTAAATGCTTCCAAATTTGACTAGTAATATCCAGGATATAAGTACAATGAAATATCAAAAATAGAAATGGAGATGACAAATGAAAACATCAAAATCAGTGATAAATCAGAGAGTAGTGCAGTGTGGGCGGGCAGCCACCAGCGCGCGCAGCCAAAAAAAAAAAAAAAACAAACAAACAAAAAAAAAAAAAAAAAAAAAAAAAAAAAAACTGTATATTCAACTTGCTTTTTATTTATGTACAATGGACCTTGTGGCAGATTAGCCTTGTGCTAAACAAGTTATCCAATAAAGTCTACTACTACTACTACTAATTATATTCATAGCAATGTCAAAAAAAAAGTTAAAACAAAAAACAAACAAGAAAAAAACAGAATTCAATTTATGCAACAAAAAAAGTCCCTACCCTAGGCCTAGGCCTAGCCTAGATCTATGTCTAGAAATTGCACAAGCATGACAAGGAAAAGGCAGTGGCTCATTAAATATATTATGTTATTTGTGACATTTTACATGTTATTTAATGATTTCAGTGTAGCAATCAGGCCTCAATTTCTCCAGGAAATTGACACTGATTTGTTTACTGCTGAGCTGCCAAGTGCCGTTTTGTTCTTGAATTTAGTCAATTCATTCATAATTTCAAGGACATTGACGATATTTATAGCAACACAGATTTCTCAAGAATACGACCTCAGAATAAAATAAAAAGTCGGGTTTACAGTACACTAAACAAATCAATATTTGTTTTCACTTCACACCTTTGTGTGCGGCTGCTCGCTTTCCCATCCATCCAAGAATACAACAATTAAGACATGTGCCCACCCGTACAGATTCGTGTCTTCTTCTGCGGCCCTTTCGACACAAAAACCCTTAAAACACAAAATTAAACAAAGATACTATGATATCGAGCATTCCATCACTTACCAACCTCCCAGCTACTAGACAAGCAAACATAATGACCGACTTTTCCCAAAAATTTATGTTGAAAATGGTGAAAATTGATGGCTCGTCGGCGAGTCACTTTTTGGATCTGGAAAAAAAGTTGTACAAATGACTAGTCTTTCGTCCAGACTGCGTGAGCACTATTTTTTTGGCCCTCGAAAATTTGATAAATCGCACCCCCCCCCCCCCCCCCCTTGAGCGCCAGGGGAGGGGCCCCATCTCCCCAAAAAAGTTTAATTAACGTGTTTTTAACTGTATTTTTTTTCAGGGAAGGCCCGGGCCCCCTCGCTGGATCCACCACTGCCTGTCCTAGAGGGAGGTTGCCCTGAGAGAGAGAGAGAGAGATAGGGGGGGGGGGGGGGAGTAGTTGTCGTAGAAGGTGGTTATCCTAGGGGTGCTATTACAAATAATCATGTTTTGTGTGTAATTTGGTTTTTACAAACATGTATCAATCAGATATGATTATTCAGGCCTATACGTTAATTTTGCAAACGAGTATTATTTTTGTAACTGTTCTGTATAAATGTTATAATCGATGTAAATATGTTCATTCAGGGCCCCATGGAAGACCACTACTTGCTGGTGAATGGGCTACCCTGTCAAAAGATCAGAAATAAATAAATAAATAAATAATAAATACGTCAGGGGACCGACCTTTAACTTCACCATCCTGAAGACGTGTCTCAGTTTTGTACCGGGGTCCACCTGAGCTAGTGTATAGGCGAAGACAGAGAGCTGACCAACAGTAGGTCTACTCACTTTTGCCATATTAGGCTACAACATAAAAAACATTTTAAGGACGGTAGTTAGATATCTGGAGTTACCCTAGGGGTGCTATCCGCGGGTTGTTGTCCAGGGGGTAGGTGTCCGGATACGTTCATTTATGACTATCTTCAAAGTGCCTTCTCCTTTTGGGCACTAACCATAATACATTGTGGATGGGATATCTTCAAAGGTTATCGAAAATGAAGAGACACTCCCAAGTCATAGATTTTTTTTAAATGTCATTTTCGTCATTTTGTGTGCAGTCGGGAACAAAGCAGAAATGATTACCCATTTAGCTGCAATCCATATGTTTTAGAATTTAACTGTCGAGAATTCATCTATTTCTTATTTTTTGTTCGATTTCACTCAAACTTTCACCAGCTATAGCCGCTCTTTTAGAGTAGCTAATTGCCATGAGGGTTGGATTTCCCTGAAATCATGTTTGTATGTTTGTTTGTTTGTTTGTAGGTCTACATGAAACGGGAAGGGGGGTCTATAAACGATTTGTCTTTCGTATTATGATCGAGCTTCGATATATAATGCATTGCGTTATATTGAGGAGGAGCCTATACAGGCCTAACGTGCATTCTCGGGTCACGAATTACAGGGGTAGGCCTATATCGTCTGTTTGGAGCTAGAATGACATTAAATGATAACATGTTAACGCCCTCCTGGGTCCAAACATTTATCAGCGAATGGTATTGATGAGCACGTCTTTTACATGTGGTAATTATCCTGGGATACTTAAAGAAGGGCCATATTCGCTATCTCAGAAAAGCTACTTCTTCGGGAATCAGGATTGCACACTTGCAATACAACAGATACAAATACTCATGTTTTGTGTGTAATTGGGTTGGTACAGACATTTATCAATCAGATATAGTTATTTACGCCAGGGGACCAATCTTTAACTTCATCATCAATCATCATAAAGATAGATAGATAGATAAATGGTTTATTCAAATCAAATCAAACATGTAAACAATAAATGTTCATTAATTCCATGCTTCGTAGCTAAAAACTAAATTGCGCAATGGATTACAGAATTAATTATTACAAGGTAAAATTGCACTTACTAATAATAAACTACTATAGATAATAATGCAACTCTTGGCAAGATGTGAATCAGTTTCGAACCGGGTTCCACCTGAGCCAGTTGTAGGTGAAGACAGAGAGCTGACTCACTTTTGCCATATTACAACATAAAAACCGTTTTAAGGACGGTAGTTAGATATCTGGAGTTACCTTTGTAATGTTTGATTATTGTTTTTAATACCTGAGTGTTAAGAAAGCATGTGTACGCTTGTAAGTAAGCAACCAGGGGACCAGCTTGAAGTCTTTTCCGAGGGACTTGAAAGAGACTTGGTAAAAAAGGATTAATGCAAACTATATAGCCCAATTAATGAAACTTGTCCATTTCTTTTAATCGATACTGTGAGTGGTTGGTGATAATTTATATCGTATTGGATTGTGTAAATGACGAAGTACCTTCTAAATCTCTTCCATTAATCGTTAGTACTTGTTACAGTGACAGACGAAACCGTTGTGAAGAGCTTGTAAACAAGTCCAATATCTTTTGTTTTTGTAGTCCCATGGCATTTTGTAGGAAGTTGTTCAAGATATAAGAATAACATGTTCAAAGGATCCGATACGACACTCAAACCTGTCTTTGATCACGATAGTTTCTCACACTTAACCTGCGTGTGCCCCTATTCATGGACGGTATATATTTTCATGGTTACTACGATGGGGCGTATCTTTCTATCCATTATAGTCTTGTTTTTATATTGGTTCATATTCTATTAAATACAATAAAGCAGTAGACAGGCAAACAAAACATTGATTGCAACACGCCAAGCTATTCGAAAGATAGAAAAGTTTTATTGCTCATTGAGTCATCAACCCAGCAACCTTTTACCAATTGTGCTTCTCCTTTTTCAGAATTTATTACATGGTATTAAATCTTAACAGCTTCGAAAGTGAGAACGGATTGTGAGGGAGACACACATGCTAGTACAGGCATGCCTATATTTGTTATACTTCTTTCATAAAACATACCTCAAGATTAGTCTACTTTCCCCCACTACATGCCGATAACTTTGAGATGACTGGTGTCGAGAAATGGTGTAGATCAACACGAAAATTAACAAGGCCGATTCTCTGAAACAACGGGTATCATGTGAACTATATTCACCATGTATCGACAGCGCGCCTTCAACTACTGGTGGACAACACTGTTCTTTGCTCTTGTGTTCGACAACTTTTACCAACTTACCTCATCTGCGAGTAGTATATGTACTGTAGTAGCTGAAAAAAAATATATAGCGGTAAGACAAAGTGCTGTGGAAGGGCAGAATATTTCAATTCATACATTTCATCTGGAACGTCCACTTCTCGAGAACCAATCTATAGAGTGGGGAAAACGCATGGACGGATGGAAACTTGAATGCACCCATAATCTGCTGTGTTCTGGGTTGAATCATGAACGCTATAAGTTGATTAAAGGAACGCACAACAAAACCATGACAATATTAATTGAACAAGCTCAAAAAAGTGACAAGGGAAGCCATATTATCAGTATCTTCAATAGATCAAGACGCGAATGTGTGATTTTGACTCTGAATTTGACTGTCACGGATCCTCCTTCTTCCATGTCTTGTCGGTTTGAGCAAAACACAAAGAGGGAACGCGGGAACATCCTCCTTACAGAAAAATGGAAAAATGAACCGAATCAGACTTCAAATATGACATTAGATAATGCCGTTTGCAACTCTGCAAACAACTTCACTGTGTATCTCGATTTTCGAGAAATACTGCTTGTAACACAGAATTCGCCAAGCGATTGCGGGGTTAGTAGGAGAAATGAAACAGAGAACAAGACAAAGTCATGTAAATTTGATTCACTCGTAGAGCCCGTATTTCTAAATGATCAAGCTAGAATTGTGTTTGAACGCTGCAATGGAAATTGGGAAACGCATCAAAAGTGGGGGTATGTGCATAATGGTGGGCATTCGCTGTTGCCTCTTCCTAAAAAATACAAGTTTCTATGCGAATCTTATCCCAGCTCAAATGTACATAACATAGCAAGGTTAAACTTAAGAGAACACAAAAATACTTGTACCTCTGTCTTCGAAGAAGATGTCGATTCGACAACATTTTCAAATTGTACGACATTGATTTTGAATGTATCAACTGCTTCACCACCAACGACAACCTTAATTTCAACTTTCTCAACCAAAACTAGCGGATTTGCAAATCCTACAACATTGATTTTGAATGTATCAACTGCTTCACCATCAACGACAACCTTAATTTCAACTTTCTCAACCAAAACTAGCGGATTTGCAAATCCTACCCTGTCTACTGGAAGATTTAATTCATCCACATCTGTTAAAGGTTCAGAAAATGATAATAAAGACACAATAATATTGATTTGCGTGGCATCAATCTCAACCATTGCACTTGTGTTCTCGATTGCCTCTTGTTTCTTCAAATGCAAATTCGTTAGCGGCGGAGGAGATCTTGCAAATCATTCACCGAACTCCCAAGCTGCAAGACATGGTGGAGATACAGAACCTTTACAAACAATAGCCTTTATTCTCTCTCAGAATACATCTCATCTTGGCAGCATCCATAGCTGGATCCAAAGTGATAAGCCAAGTCAAGCTTCAGTAATAGACAAAGGGAAGCACGATCATGGTCAAGAACGTGGGTCATCTTCTTCGGAATGTCAGAGTGAAGCTCCAGAGCTCCGTACAAGGCCAGCCATGGTTGAGCATCACAACCTACATGACACGCTAAAAGATCTGGGGAAACCGTCTACTTCTACCGACGAGTCACACATCGGGACATCCTACCCATCCTGCGTGGACAGTAGCTATCACTCATTGGATGATGTGAAAGACATATCTAGGAACAGAGTACACCTACCTTCAGCGCCGCAACCGTTGCCATGTTCCCCGTCGTCATCAAATGAGCGTGGGACCCGACGTGAAGAAAACGATTCCCTCGATGACAAGGAAATGCCTTCCTGTCAGGTCAAACCAAAGATAAGAGGAGAGGGTACGTCGGCAAGCGCCTTGGTGAGGTCGGACGTCGACGCCTTGTACGCCAAACCCGACATGAACCGAAAAACAAAGAAGTCCATCTCCAGGTCAGTCCCGCTCGAGTCTGGTCGATTAGAAATGACCATTCTGGACCTGGACTATGATGATGTTAGGAATCCGATGGATAGTGCTATTGAAAGTGCCACTGTAAATACAAGTCGAAAGAGTGAGCACATTTACGAATCCTGTGACTAAATTGTGCAGCTTCGTGAAATGCAATTTTTTTCTGTTG